GCCTCCACCAAGAGAATTGGGTGCCAGGCTTCTTCTCCTCGCCATGACTGAAATCACCGAAAAGGAAAACGACCCCCAGCAGCACAACCCGGACCCCCAGCAGACCCCCAGCACCGGCGGCGGCGGCGGCGGCCCCAGCCTCCAGGAGACGAAGGTAAAGAAAGCCTTGTCGCCTCAACCTCTCCTCCTCCTCCTCCTCCGGTTCTCCTTGTGTGTCTGTCTCCTTCAGGTGTGAGCCTTCAGGTCCTTTCCGACTTAGGGGGCCACCCTAAAACCAACCACCTATCCTGGGGTTTTCTTGGCAAGGTCTCTTCGGAAAGGGTTCGCCATTGCCTTCCTCTGAGGCTGAGAGAGTGTGACTTGCCCAAGGTTCCCGTCCGTCCGTCCTTTAAAAATTAATCATGCGCCCGAAGCGCCCCGTGGATGGGTGCCACGCTTTCCTCTTACAACCAGTTTGTGAAGCGTAACCATCCCTTTCCTTCCTTCTAGGTCTCTCTTTTCTCCTAGGATCAGAGAGGATCCTGGGTTTCCTGAAGGCTAATGTTTCTTCTTTGTAAGGGGTCCCCTTCCCAGATTTGGGGGGTTTCAAGGTGTCATCTCTCCCCCGCCTCAGCCACCTTGTTTTGCAAACATTTCTCCCCTCCAACCTCTGTCTGCCTGCCTTGCCTTCCTCTCCATGCTCTAACCATTGGCAGCTCTGCCTTTCTTCTCTTCACCCTCATCCCTTTCCCACCTCATGCTTGCAGTAGTGAGTTCGTTGCCGGAATCCGAAAGTAAGCCCTGCCTCGTGTTTTATTTTGGAGAAAGAAAGAGGGGAAAAACACACAACCACAACCGCAGTGTCTCTAGTAGAACTGAATGGCTACATCTCTCTAGTCTAGAGCTCATCATTATGGCTAGGTTTGTCTGGGGCTTGTCTTCTACATCTCCTCGTCCCCAGTTTTTCGCCCCATAGGAAGCACGGTGGGGTTACTATGGGGTGGGATGGGACCTTGCTGAATGGGACCTTGAACTGGATTGAGACCCATTGAGTTCTTCCCACTCTGATTTCCCTGATCTGAATATCCTGAAGATGTGTGTTGTGTCTGTTTCTCCTGCCATTTAAAAACTCATGTTAAAAAATACAAAACCCTTTGAGTTGCTATGTATCCAGTCATTGTACACTAAGGGTCAAATTACAGGAGGAGTATGCAATGCCGCACCTCTCCCTGCCATTTGACTTGACCTTCTAAATTTTTTTAAAAAAAATCTTCTCCTTTCC